AAAAAAAAATTGTTAACATGTTTAAAATACTTTAATGAAATTTATATTCTAAAAATAAGAAGGTGTGCCTACTTTGAGTTCCCAAAAAAAAAAAAAAAAAAAGAGATGATAATTAATTACCTCCACGATGTCTCCAATGTTGACAATGAAGGCGTTAGGAAGGGGTTTGACTGGGACCCACATGCCATCTTTCTTTATTTGGAGTCCTTCCACTTCACTGATTTGCAGGAGAATGGTAAGGCCAACGGAATCAGAATGAGGAGTTAGACCCATCACTTGTTCTGGTTGAGGGCATGGAGGGTAATAGTTCATCCTCATTGCTTGCATTCCATCTTCAAACATTCTAGTCATTTCTTTGCCTTTAATTTCAAGAGCCTTTTCCATTTGGGAGATTATAGCCTTGGCAAGATTTTTGAGTTCCAATGCACAAGTCTCCAAGTTGTCCCTACAAATAAACGAGAAGTAAATTAAAGAGATATTCTTTTTTTTTTTTTCCTTCTTGCTAATAGATATTCACTATTTCATACCTTGGTATTTTCAGCTTATAAAAAGAAGTGTCCTCTGTCTTTTAAATGTTTTTCAAGAGTGTATATCTGAATTATAAATTTGTTAATTAAAGTCCCGTTCATTTCACCGATTTGAGTTTAAAATTCAAGTTTTGTTACAGTAAAAAACTTTTAAAAACAGTCACATTTAACTTTTTTCCTACAGTAAAAAACTTTCACATAAAGTCACATTTTAACTCGAATCAGAAAACTAAACGGGCCCTAAATTTATAGCTATTTTAGATCAAGGTTTTGAAGTCGAATTAACAAATTTACCATTTTGTCGCTTAGCTTGAAAAATACAAATTGTACGATTTTTTCTTTTGTTGTTGTTGTTTTTTTATTATTATTATTTTTTATTTTTAAACTTAGTTCTATGTTCGATTATAGGTTATCAATCAATATATTAGAAATGTTAATGTTCCTGTCAAAACGGTGCCGTTTTGGTTGAAACCACCTTTCTTTTTTTTAGCCTTTTACCTTCAAATTTATTTATTTATTTATTTTATTCATATTTTCCCCATTTTTTCACCTAAAACATCTTTTTTTTCCTTTTTGGTCCTTTCTTGAATTTTTTTTAAGTTTTACCCCGAAACTTTTATTTATTTCTTTGCTTTGGTTCCTTTTCAAGCCCTTTTTTATTTTTGCCCTTAATCTTGATCTTTTTTCATTTTGGACCATTTTGAACTAAAACTTATTTAATTCTTGATCTTTGTCCTTTTCTAACCTTTTATTTATTCTTGTCTTATATTTTTTTTGTTTTGGTTCCTTTTGTCTTAAAATATATTGTTTCTTCTATTTGGTCCATTTTTTAGCCTTGAAACTTATTAATTTCTTTGTTTTGGTTCTTTCTCGACACCTTTTTTTTTTACCCTAAACTTATTTATTTCTTTATTTTTGTCCTTTTTAATCCTTTTTTGATTTCTTGCCCTAAAGCTTTAAACTTTTTTATTTTGATTCCTTTTTAAAATTTTATTAATAACACGATAATTAACACTTAACACACGGATTACTTTCATATGCTCTTAACACATGGTAGTGTTATATGTTTTTATTAATAATACGATAATTAAAACTTAATAAACTGATTACTCTCCATGTGCATAGCACGTAGAGTTCAACTAGTTAATTATAAATGGTAAAGGTTTTATCATTTCAGGTGTCAAAGTCAACCCAAAAATATCAATGTAATAAATTCAGAAGAGCAATCATAACCTCTTCAAAAAAAAAAAAAAAAAAGAAAAAGAAAAAGGAAGTGCAATCATAACAACATTAACTTTTGATATATTCAATAGATGTTATATAAATAGTAAGCAGCCCTAAATTGAACATACATGATATTAAAATGTAGGTAGAGCAATAGGTGGGAGTTAAAATTTGTTGTGAACAAAAGCACATCAATACTCAAAGGAAAGGGAAGAACCTGAATGGAGTAGGAAGCTTTGGAAACAAATGGGGCTTCCTCAAACTAACTGGAAGTGTGGTCAAGAAGAAGATGTCATTCCAGTCAAGCTTTTGTTCTTCAGATTTTACAAAGGCTTGTCCAAATCCTTCTACTTCTCCTGAATGTTGCCACAACTTTTTCTTCTCTTCCATTGGAAGATTAAAAAAGTCTTGAATATCTGTCTTTATTTTCTCTACCAAGGAAGAGCTTATCCCATGGTTTATCAACTTCACAAAAATAATTTAATTAATCAATATTCTTCTAATATTCATCAACTGAGTTCTTAGCCTTACAACTAGAAACCGCGAAAGGAGAAAAAAAAAAAAGAAAACAATGATAATTATAATTTGGTCAATTTAGTTTTTTTTTTTTCCTTAATTTTTTTATGCTAAAAGAAAGGAGGCGAGAAAAATCCTGACATTATGGAGCTTTAATATACTTAAAACAAAGATGACACCCCCCTAAGCACTCATCTAGCCATGCCCGACTGGTAACAGGAAATAAACATTCCAGAAAACCTTATAATAAAACATAAATTTGAGGAAAAATATGACTTGGTTAAAACTTTCAGAGTTCGTATTAGTTATAAATATTTGAGCTCTTTACATTCTTAATTTGAAATAGCAAATATATATAATAGAGCTTTTCTGTAACAAATAACCACCTAGATAGATAAGAGTACTAATAAGTTACGTCGATTAAATTGTTAAATTACATAAAAATCAAGTATAGTAATATATATATATATTATCTTTATACTACAACACCAGCCAATTCTATTTTACATAATCGACCAAATAAAGATATATGGTTATGCTCTGATTACGGATCTGTTTGATTTATAGATTTGAAGAGAAAGTTGGAACATAAATTTAAATCTGTTTTTTTTTTTTTTTTGAAAATACTATAATAAAAAATGTATAAATAATCAAAACTTTTTTATTCATAAAAAAAAAAAAAAATTTGAAGCAATACCTGGAAGAAGCCCCAATCCCTGCAAGCTGAGTGGAAGCTAGCTAATTCAGATTCAGATAACTCACCATGACAAAGCAAGTTTTGGAAGTTGATAACTGGGATTTCAGAAACAGAAATAATTTTATTACTGGTTTTGTCATATTGATCAGGACGAATGTATCTGGATGGGACAGTGATTATGGGCTCCTTAACCAACTCTTGAACACTCGGCACAAGCAAAGAACTTCCGTACTCCATTTTTTCTCTTTCACAAATTCTCTCTTTCCTACAGATAGCTCACGCTCATACAAAGGTTTCGATATTATTGAGGTTTATTATTATGTCATATATTTATTTATAAAATATTACATGACAAACTGTATAATGTGTTGCATTGTGTATATGTTTTGTGGGATCATATATTTGATTTGATTTTATTTTCTTACCAACTAACAGTACGTCCAAAGTATATCTATAGGGTTGGTTAATTTTTTATTTTTTATTTAATTTTTTATGCGTTTTATACGGAAGTAGGTAAACCTACTTTTCTTGAAACGGAAGAAAACTAGATGTGCTAAAGTACATCATAATCTTGTAAATGTATAGAAAAAAAATCATCTCAATCAGAATTAAAACGAAAAAGTTATGATATTTTTAAGAATAGAGAAAATACTGTTTATTAACTTGAGTTTGAGTTTATGAACTCGAGTTGAAGGAAAAACTTAAACTCGAGTTTAACTACAAACTCGAGTTTAAACTCGAGTTCAAACTCAAATTTTACAAAAAAACATAAACTTAAATAAAGTTATAACTCGAGTTCAAATTTTATTTGAGTTTCGTTTCAAAATAACAACCCTTATTGTTTATAACCAGGAAAGCACAACAAACGTTTATTGATGAAAAAGAAGAAAAAATGGTTTGATAGTGAAACTCTATGAGCTTGGCTTGGAAAAGTTGCAGTAGAATACGTCTCTTGGATAGCACAGAGAATTGATAAACTAAAGCAAAATGTTCTTCTCTTCTCTTCTTTTCTTTTTTTTTTTTTTTTTTTTTTTTTTTTTTTTTTTTTTTTTTTAACAGAGAGTTGATAAACTAAAGCAAAATGTTCTTCTCTTCTCTTCTTTTCTTTTTTTAAAAAAAAAAAAAAAAAGTTGATAAACTAAAGCAAAATGTTCTTCTCTTCTCTTCTCTTCTTTTTTTTAAAAAAAAAAAAAAAAAAAAAAATCTCTATAGGGATAAATTTCCATAGAGATACGAGGTGAGCTTCATGGAACACTTGGACCTTAACAGGAATACTTTAAACGAAAACGTCAAACTCCAATTAAGGAGCACTTAATTCAAGGAGAACATGATTACACGAACGAAATGCACATATATGATGGATATTTTTATGAAATACCTCATTAGAAACCTTAACGTTAGGGGGAAATCTCTTTTGTTACAGTAAAAAATTTTCAAAAACAGTCATATCTAACTTTTTTGTTATTGTAAAAAACTCTCACATAAACTCACATCTCAACTTGAATTAAAAACTCGAATCAATGAATTAAACGGGCCCATATTTGTCAAAGTCAACTTAGATGACACGTGGT